CAAGGGAGAAACTGAAAGGGATGCTGTGATACGGCAGTGATTTCAGCTGCTTATGCTTTGGGATTGTTCAGTAACGCAGGTAATTGTCTTTGATCATAGCCTTGTAACCACCACCTTTAATTTGTAGCACAGAGGTTACTATCTAGCACCCAGCTAGCCAAATGAAATGTATGGCTTGATTAAGGATCTCTTTTGTCAGTAATTTGTGCCTAATGTTTTTAGCTTTCCCACGGGCTGTTATAGAAAATGGTAAATCTGGTTTAAATGAAACCTGATACTGTTAATGGTTTAATAGCAGCTGCCACAGGGTTATGGCATTTTTCAACAGATGCTTCTGTTTCATTTTAAGCCTACACTAAGTCTTTGAATATATTTACATAATTAATGTAAAGTACACCTACATAATAATGACAATATTTATAGTTTTTAAAGATTTCCTTAAATGATTTCCCCTCTCTTGTGGTTATCTAATCACAGTATATAACTTGAAACAGGAAGGCATATTATTAAAATAATAATTTATATTCACCTCTTCAAAAAATTATAGAGTGCAGCACAGTTATGAACATGTATCATCTCCTAACGCAGCAGTTACGGGTGTGGGTAAATCCCTTAGCTGCTTCAGAAAAAGAGAGAGAAAAAGCTTGGCTGTACCTGAGTTGCGCTTATTATCTAGTCTACTGTTCAATCAGAAGCATAAAAAAGCGATGCTTGTATTCAAAATTATTAGTCAAGAAAGAGCTGCGTTGAGGTGTGTGCTTATGTGCAGAAATATTTGAGGCAGTGAAGATTTGTGGCTGGTTATCAGCCACAGAATGTCATCTGATTGAGGAAATCCCTGCTAATTTAAGACTACTGGCATTTTAGGCTTTTAAAGGTGGGTGATCAGTTTGGATGGGTGTCTTCTATTTGGATGTCTTATTCTGAGTTTCAAAAACTACTACTGGTATATCCTACAGGACTCTTAGAGTCAGAGGATACCCTCGAATTTTGTGGCCTTCTACAAGTACATGCCAATTCCCAGGGAGGAGAGAAGGAGAAAAGGCTCCTCTTCCTCTGCTTTGGCTGGAAGGTAAGGTAAGGTTGAGCAAGAGTCTCTGCAAGGCAAATATACCAAAGCATTTGCTACTATGAACTTTGAGGACTGAAATGGGAACAATACAAGGTGGAAAACATTCAAATAACAGAACAATGTCTCAATTAGAGAAGCATGCAGGATAGTTTAATTATAGAGAACCAGGACTGCCTCATACTCTTAATCCAGGAGAACGTGTAGGAGCAGTGGTGAAGCAGATGTTCTGCTCTGTGAGAGGTGTAGCTGATGTACTTGTCACCCTTGTCCCCAGGTGACTACCCTTCAGAGCTGTTAGCCAGGGTATGATGGTAGTCACCTTCCACGTTCTGACTTTTGCATGGTTTTTGTTTTATTTGCCCTTTCAAATGCATTAGAACTGTTTGACAGGATCTGGGTCAACCCCAACATTAATTAAAGAAAACGGTTAAAATTGTGGCATAGGACCAGAATTCTTTGTCTTTGCCCTGCTTCCTTCTCTACCCTCCTCTCCATGACCTTGCTTTGCTTCACACAGCAAACCTCACAGAGGGATTTACATAAATTCATTACTTCAGGGTGTTTCTTCACCTCTGATTTTCAGGTCTTTGCCATGGGAACACAGTTGCTCCAGGACCCTCAGGCATTTTGTAACCCGCTTCCACAGCTCCAAGCTGCTTAGAAGAATATCTCTAGCTATCTTATAAAAAGCGTAAACAGTACTTGCCAGTCTTTGGTATGCCGAGAGTTTACCACCTCAAAATCCTTTTTGACCCTACCCTGAGGTTCACATACTTTGCAAGAAGAGTTTCCTTGCTTTATTTTGAAGGAGGAAGGCTATTGTGTACCAATATCATTCCCAGAACTGGGTGGGGAGGAGCAAGCCTGCAAGTGTTCTCACTGGGTATTTGGATGAACTCTCCAAAGCTGCTGCAAGAAGAACCCAGTGGTGAATCTCAGTAACCCCTTACAGGGACACCTCAGATTCCCAAGCTGGTTTGTTACTCTGTCTTCAAGTTTTCTAGCGTCAATGTGTTTTTTTCTAGCGGCAATGTTTTTCCACCACTGGTAAATAAAGGTTGAAGATGAACGCTTTCAGAAAGTCAAGGGAAAAAAAAAGAAATCACAAAATTAGCATGAAAAAAAAGCACAACGTTTTCTGTCGGAGTGGAAAATTGTTCAAATACATGATTTGGTGGAAAAGAAGAGTTGCTAATTGTTTTAGCGTGCAAAATTAGTTCAAAGGTATGAAGTTTATAGAACTTTCTATGACAAAAGAAAGCTGTTTCCCTTGTGATGCTTTTATAACTAATATATCTTGTCTTTTCCTCCTTTGCTAGGTTCTACCACCTAGAAAAGCTTTGAAGCCAGGTATGGTCCTCCTTTTTGAACTCTTCCTTCTTCGTGGGACCCATACTTGGATTGATCGAGAAGTGGGATGGGGAGCTTTCCCCTTGTGTGACAACGATTCAAATGCTTTGGAGGGAAAATTCAAATGTCCCTTTCTCCGAGGCCATTACGATTCCAAAGTTGATCGATTTAAAAAAATTGAAAATTTTATTTCTCAAGACTTGGATCATTGGTTATGCAATCTCTACTTTCAGGTTTGTATTTAAAAAAATTAAACCTGTTGGTTTATTCACTGTTCCTCAGAACAGATTCTGCCTTCCTTCTGTCAGCCTTAAAATCAATACTGTCTTTCCAATACTCAGTAGGCATATAAGGAAAATGAAAATCACCTGCATCTTCAACTTTTACATGAAATGAGTAGGGTTTTTTACTCGGATTATTTCAAATATTAAAATAGTGTTTGGGGTGCTGAGTAATTGGATAAAAAATGGGATCAAAAATTGAATTTCTGAGTTTGGACCTGCCACCAGCACATGTGGCAGGTTTTTCCTCCACAGTTTTAGCGAATCTCAGAGGTGGCTAGATGGCTACAAAATAAAATAACATTGTTTATGATATTGTTGCATTTGTCTGTCTGAGATCCCAGCTAGCGAGCAAGGCTCTGTTGTGGTAGGAACTCTACTTTTAGATAGCTTTTGGACATAATTCAAACGTGATGGTTTTTGTATGTCTTGGGTGAAAATGAGCCTGAATTGAGAACTCCTCTTCAGTAGAAGCTTTGTTTCTGGACTAGCAAATTAAGGGTTTCATTGTAGCTGAGAGATGTTCCCTCATTCAGAATCTTAACAAGACCTCAAACACTTTTATAGTCATGTCTGGCTCAGGAAAAAAAAACTTACCGAAATAGATGAATTTTGAAAGCATCTTAATTATAACATGTGGATTTACTTAATAGAAAATATAGTTATTAATTTTCTTGTGATGATTTTCAGGCAATCTTCATTTTTGGGTCTACCAAGAGTAGAAGTAAGTGAAAATAACTTCAGAATCAGATAGAGAAATAAGAATCTATACAAAAAATATACCTAAGATATGCTAGGAAAGATAATGTCAGAAACAACATTAGCAGAGAGCTATGGTAAAAAATAACAGAAGAGTCAAAGTGGTTGAAGGGGGCGGGGGGAAGACCCCAAAGCTTCAAAATTTGCCTTTCAACTCAATGTATAAGCTGGGATCATTTGGTGATTCAGGGAATCTATGTTTTCCCAGATGAATCTGAATTTGGATTGTGAGTCACCCCCATTTAGTGGGATGTCTGCTTTAGTCTGTAAGCATGGGGAAGACGCATATGGGAAAAATGATATGAGAGAAAACTTTAGTAAATAGAGTATAGAGAAACAAGAACTTCCTAAAATCCTCATAGCAGCATCATGGACTTCTAGGGTTCACAAATAGTGTATGTTCCAACTTTGTGTAATACTGAAATGCCTATACTCATGTTTTGTTTTGTTTTTTTTTTTTTTCATTAATAGATGGTTAAACTACCACAGGATTCAGATAAGAAAAATGAGGGTGATATGAATCTTGAACTCTCATCTGAACTGCTCATGTATTCAAGTGTTGCCGAAAAGAATGGTGTCTCAGAGAAGGTTCAACAATCTGGACCACAAGGTGATGGATTCAAACTTTCATGTTTATATTCAGGCTTTCATTGGAGCAACCTGTAGTTTCATTTCAATGTCGGCTAGTCATTATCGTTCATGTTAAACTAGATTTTTCTCTTTCAGATATTGGTCCAATGTGCATTATAGCAAGAATACTGTGATTCTTTTTATTAAGATTGCTTAACTTTGTTTTCAGTTGTGACCAATTTAAACCAGCCTCATTGCTGAGGATGAAACTTTCCATGCTGGCCCCTGCTTGAGGCTGAGTGATGTTTGGAAAGTCGCAGCAATAACGGTTCAGCTGCTTATGACACCAAGCTTACAGGAAGAGAAAAAAAAAAAAAAAGATACTTTTTGGTCTAATTATTTCTGGAGGAACTCCAGTGCCTCCCTGGGCTAGGACAGGGAGTTCAAATTTGGCAGAGAGACTATTCTGGGATCAGAGGCATGCCTTATGCTACTCCTATGTAATTCTATTAAGATTCAATCAAGTGGTAACCCATAGAAAAGACAAATTATCATTTTCTTATGTATAAGTACACCTTCCTGGAAGCTTTCTTAAAAAATTGCTGAATGCTGCTTTTAGACTGAGCATCCTCCCTGACCTCAGTGAGTCTCCTGAGGTGGCTACGTTGAAGGCATAGTTGACCATATTGCAATGGACTCACAAATTGCTCCTTTTCTATTGGAAATTCAGGAATAGGAAGAACAGTAGGACACTGCCATTGGTTTTTCTTTTTCAGCATGTGGGATCTAACTGCCATTGTCAAAAATAATTGGTTTTTGGTACACAGACATTCCTATATTCCCTCTTGCTTAATGAACTGAAGGATGCAGCCAATCCACAAGTGTAGTGTCTGTGTGAATATTATATGCAGGTTTGAAACAGTGATTTAGTTCTTCAGGACGGAGCTTCCTCAGGCATTTTCAAACAGCAGCAGAGATGGCAGTAGAAGGCATGGGACAAGAAAGAGTAGGATATTGGAAGAAAGGAAAGAGAGCAGATAAGCAATAATCATTTAGCGTGTTGAATGGGCAGCTCAGGTTGGAAGTATAACATGAAAAGAGGCCAGTAGAAGTATTTTTCAGACAGTGAGTGATGGTTTAGAAGATAAAGAAAATGAGTTCTACCCTGTGACACTTTTAGGCTAAGCAGCAACTGCACCGTGATCAAAGAGCTTTTGTATAATTACTCTGATACCAGAAGCATAGAGACGTAAACACACTTTGTACCGAGGAGTAAAGTGCTTTCTGTTGCCCTGTATCTTCTGTATGTCTGTTAAGGTGCTTCTAGATGCAGCACAAAACCATGAATAGAAGATCCAAAAGGTGGAGTTGCAGCCAATTTTTCTCAACAGTGAAGAGTTATGTATAAGCTTTTAACAAATCCAACTTGTCCTTACCATTGTTTGGTCCTACCATCAGTCTTCCCATGCACACACACACACGCATACACATCAAGGCTGCAACTAAATAGGTCGTGCTTCTGGAAACACATGGAAAAAGTCATGATACTCAGTTTAAGAAGTCCGGAAAGATGTATTTCTAAGAATACAGAGCTTTAGTGGATGTCCTATTTTGCATGCAGACCTCTGAAATATACTGATAAGCTGATCAGGGAAGATCTGTAATTTCCATGCCAAACAGATTTGCACTAACAAAATTTCTAGGAGTAATTTTTGATATTGTTTATATTTATTTATTTTTCTTGGAGCCTTCTTTAAAGATATTATTAGCTGCTAATATCCCCCATGGGTTTGTTTTTTAATGTATCTATGCAGTGCTACAGTATGCTGTTTCTGCTGGTGATATGTTGCTAAGAGATTTAATAATGGGTAAACAAACACAACATGTGGTAATCCATTTCAAATTAAAAGTTTATTAAACGCTAGCTTGATGACTTTCTGGCTATTTACAATTAAAGGAGCAAACCTTAGGGAACTGGAGATCACGTGGTGAAAATCACGACTTCAACATTTCCAACAGAAAAATGTGTTTATGATCTGTGGCAAGCTGTCGCACATTGATATGCTCTATAAATACTATATTATATCTGTTAAACCACCAAAAGCAAGGGGAGAAAAAAGCTCTGTTAAAGTGACATTAAGGTTGAGACACAAACCAGAGAAAGCAAGAACAGCCTAAATGAAGACTGGTGCTCTGTAATTCACTCTACTGCAGTAGTCTAAATAGTGAGTGATCTTACATATCAATACCATATGTGGTGCTGCAACATATAAGCAAAATAGAGCAGGTTAGGAGATGGTGTTTTAACCTTCACTTCAAATTTGTCTAGGTTTCAGAAGTTTAAGACAGAACCTTCATATTATTTCTATTAACTCCAGGCTACACCGTTCTTTTAAACCTCAGCTCTGTGTTGGGCTAAGTATGACTCTTCCCTGCTGCACAGGATTTCTCTTCCAGAGTACAATGCAGGGAATCCGACGTAACACCTCCCATTCTACCTCTTTTGTAGGTCACAGATATACATTGTCAGATCTACTGTCTCTTGCTCTGAACTGTATCTTTTCTCCATTCTTTTCAAGTGATATTCCGTGAGAGGCTCATGGAATAAAGCTTCTGCTATCACAACCGCTGTCCTTTGTAGTTTTTTTTTAAGAAAAGCCTCTGTTGTTGATCCGTTGTCCTATTAATGGATCAACAGACCCTGTCAATAAATAAATGACAATTTCTCCATGAAATTCATTAGCCATTGCTGTGTAGAAGGCGGTAACAACTCTAATAGAAGTAGCATAGGTAGGAAAATTTGATACAACTACCAGAAATGTTATCTTGAGAGGCTTGGATCTAAGTAACCCAGTCTTCTAAATGCATGAAAACTTCAGAAATGTGAACCTCCATATAGAACACATACAACTGAAGTTATGGTCAGCGCTCCTTTCCACTATGAAATCCACAGCAAGATCCTTTTTGACTTCAGTGTCTGTAGAAGAAGGGATTCACGTGTGCAACATGTCAGCGTAACTCAGTCTTTTTTGAAAGTGGCAGCTCTTTCATCTTCAGAAAAGTAGCTGGAGAGCACTTGTGCATTAGTTCTCCAGTTCAAACGCTTTACGGTCAGACTCAGGCTCATTTGGGAAGTGTTAGTCTGCGCTTGTTGGGAATGTTCTTCCAAATGCTTGCTCCTCTGCCTGCGCTGTTCCTCTGACTCGACATGAAAACATCTACTTGTGCCCATCAAAAACGGTGATTGAAAACCAGGGATGATTTTATCCTCTGTAGTCCCAAAGGAAAACCTTTTTCATTCTAATGACTTATACCTCTTTTATGTTGGCCAGTTTGAAGTCCTGAAGTTATGGTCAGCACTATACTGGCATATAATGACGTGCACTGAAGACCTAAAAAGGGTGCTGAGAAGAGGGAAGAGTGGCTGAGGATTAAGATACTGAAACAATATTTTGGATTTTTTTTTTTTTCAGTGCCAAGTTGTGTGCAGTTTTAGGTCAAATTACAGTAGAAATCACTGCCTGTATCTAAATAGTGTTGTTCTAGCATGACTACGCTGCTCCCATTATCTGAGCTAGCAGAGATGTTCATTGCTACTGCTTTGCTGGGTAGATTTGTCACCTAGAAAGACTCCCACTACGTCAGCTGTCCTTGGACTGAACGCCTACAGGAAGATTTTCTGTGTACCTGTAACATTTTCTTTCTGGAAAGTCTGCTAGTGCCTCATTCCTCCCTGTTCTACTATACTTTGGGATCGTTAAGAAAAAAGCAACTCAGCTCTTTGAGTATGGTCCTAAGGACACTTATTTTCTTACAATGAACAAATGGCTTGTTTTTTTTCCCCCTAAACTTTATTTTTCTCTCCTCCTACACAACTTGCTGTCTAACAGCAGGAGATGTGGCTCGTGTGCCCCGTTCATCAACCAGAAGAAAAGTTAGAACAACTGGAATTTTTTCACTTCCCAAACTATGAGCTCATAATGGAAATAAGTATTATACAGAAGGATCGTTTTCAGGTACACAATTTATCTGGTTACCTTACAATTTAGAACATTTTTTGGTCTGTCTGCTTGCCTGGTTGTTAAAAACAAGGTTGGTCTTTACCGGTTGGCTTCGGCAGTCCTTGAAACCTGCCGGAGTTGTAAAGCTTTAAACAGTTGTGCAGGTCTTTAATTGCAAATGAGTTTTGACAGGACTGCTCGGCAAAGGGCTGGCCCGTCCCATCGTGATGCTAGCCGACAACCCCTTACTGCTCCCGGAGCAAGGAAACATGTGGAAGGAATTGTTCTTTTACGTTTCACAGCTTGTCATTTCCTCTGCAGGGCAACCTCTGACCTCCCCGAAAGATCCCGACACCCATACGGGAAGTATTCCCACTGTTGTAGAGGAAGTGGAAAAGCAGTTTAATGCTGCTGAAGGAGGAGAAGCGTGTGTGTCAGAAGAAGCTGGGAAGGAAAGAGAAGAGCTTAAAATGCTTCCAGCAGGTTAGGGCTTTTATTGCATCATTTAATTTACTGAAAGTTTGCAAATAGATCTGCTTGGCATGTGTCTAAATACCCTCATCTCCCTTCTCCCATCACTCTGCGGTATCATCTCCTCGTTATTTCACTAGACAAAGGAAGCGATGGAAGAGTTAAAATCCATTGTGAGGGATCAAAAGCAGCTTAGGTGAAAAAGGTACTGAAGTGGTGGGCTCTTCTGACTAAAAAGTTTCAGCAGAGCAAATGTGCTAGTAATTACAAGGTGTGTGTGGAGTGCACTGACAACACTAGATTACAGCTGGTGTTTCCGTGACGTTTTTACGTCCTTTCATTTTTATTTGGTCATTTATATCCATGGATCACAACGTGTTGCTGGTAGGTGTTTGGGAAGTATTTTTTTTCTTCCTGCAGCATGTTAATAGCATTATCTTTTGTTAATTGTGCTGAGCTAAATTACTGTCTGTATTAACATCAGGCAGCATTTGCTTCTGGGATGTGGGGTTTCTTTTGAAGGCAGAGCTTTGCAAGTTGCACTGTGGGGGTATTTTTCGTGTTTCTTTTTTTTATTTTTTAAATCCCAGGTAAAACTGAGATTTAACTGAGTAACACAACTGAGTGTGTAACTGAGAACTGAGTAACACAACTCCTAGGTCTTATTCTAAACTTAGATACCACCATGATGGCCAGAGGCAGATTTACCAGAGGACAGGGATCTGGTGGTACCAAGGTTATAGACAACTGCCTCCACTTAATAACCTGGATAGTGGATCTTGCCCGCTGTCCTGTGACCGGAAAATGGCTGTGCAGGCACAGAAGCCACTGCTGCCCGTGCACGTTCTCTAATTGCCAGCCAGCCCTCCCAGTCATGGTACAGGTGTTTAGGCTAAATAGACAGATTGAGCAGCTGAGGTAGAGGAGAGGACATCAGGAGCTGACTCAAGATCTACTGTTGTACCCATTGCCTGTGACTCTCCTACCCATCACAAACAAGGCAGGGTTGGCTTTCGTTGTAGGAAAAAGACAGTTCTCATTCCCTTGGTCGGTGTGTAGAGAGTGCTGAAGGTGCAAGTGAAGATAAATCAATGCCTCTTTTT